GGCGCGCCTGGATCATGGCCCCGGCCCGGCGCGGCTCCCGCTCCCCGCGCAGCGACAGCGCCCGAGCGCCGCGCCGCCGGCTCCGCGGCTGGGCATGAGCGCCGGAGAGGCTCGGCCGAGGGGAGGGAGGCAGGCTGGATCCGCCGCGGACGCCCCGGCAAGCGCTCAGCCCCCAGCATTTCACCCACCCCCCGCTTCCCGCCTTCCTCCCCTTCACCGCCCTCCGCCCCGCACCTTTTCCCTCTGTCCGCTCCTACATGCCAAGCTCTTCGCTCCCCGCCGAGGCTGTGGCAGGCAGAGGTCGGGCGCGGGGCTGTGGGCGCCGCCGCTGCRCAGCTCTGCGCGGGCAGCGGGAGTGCAGCGCTCAGCCCCAACTCGCCCAGGCGCGGCGCCTTTAAGGGAGCGCTGCCACAGCCGCCCAGCCCGCCGGTGCTCGGGGGGAGGCTCCGCGGCCGGAGTTTGCCCGGGACGGCGCCGAGAGGCGAAGCGGAGGGAGCCCCGGTGCGTGGCCGTGCGAGCCCCGCGCACARAAGCGGAGCTGCCCCGGGGGAAGCGCCCGCCCCGCGCAGCCCCCGCGGGAGCGCCGGGAGGTTCCTCCCTGGGGCCGCGCACGGTGACGGGGAAGTTGTAAAGTGAACACAATCAAAACGCCCGGTTCTCCTGGGCTGACTTAGCGCCTTCGATTCCTCCATGCGCGGAGTGCGTAATTGGGTTTATTAATTTATTTTCTTTCCGACTCCAAAAGATCAGTCTGTTTTTCAATATAGGAGATTATGATTCTTTCTCCCTTGGAAAGGCATTATGAGATCTGGTGGGAATATTTTTCTTTCTGTGTTTTGGAGAACACAAAACAATATTCTGCTTTTTCATTAATGCCTAGTTAGTGTGCTAGGTGGGTTTATTTTTCATGCTATTTTAACATACAAAAATTCAGGCTGTTAAAGTAGACTGCAGCGATAATTTATGGGAGGTAGGAGTAATGTCTTTAATTTTATCTCATTTATTCCCTTTGTCTGTTGTCTTGTAATTTATAAACCCAACTGCAATGCTGCTGTTTTGAGGATCCACTAAATAGCAGCAAATGAAGGAACAACTGTGGTGTTACTCGAAGAACATGGTTTCCATCAGATTCTGTGGCTGGTATCTCTGTGGTTTCAAATATGGACCTGCCATTTGGGGTGGGGACAGTTGCTGTGTCTGGGGAGATGAGCACTCTTGGGATGGCGTGGCATTGCAAGCAATTGCAGCAGTGACAGCCAGATCAGGGCCTTTTTGTTTTGGATTTAGCTGGTGGCTATGAGCATTTTTGAAATTAATCTCCCAAACACCCACCCCTAACACACAYGCACTTTGGTTTGCATCCCAGCGTGTTTTCAAACAGTGCACATGTTTCTCTCACATCCAACCAAAGTAGATGTACTCTAGAGGCAGGGTTGGACCAAAGCTGGTTGAGAAAATGTCCAAAATGTACTAAATGTAGATGTGATTGTGGGTTGTTGCCTGTCTCCCTCTCCTCTTTAGCTGCAGTTTCTCTTCTCTGTAGCTGCTGGTGGACAAAAGAGGGCCCTGCTTCATAGAGAGAGCATTGTGGAATTGCTTCAGTAATTAAAGATGGGCATTGTGAAAGTAAGAGTATCCTAAAAGGAGGAGCTAGACTGAACATAGAATTGACGTTTTAATGTTCTTCCATTGCCACTGGAAGCTTTGTTTCAGCGCTGTACCTCACCATCTATGGAACAGTTCTGTTTCTTCACTAAAATGGTTTGGCAGCCCTGTGTTCAAGGCAAGTTTCTTTTTGAATCTGCTGCAATATATGCAAAGATGTGTCTGTGCATGAGTGGAAACTCAGTATGGCCCAGGCAGTCACTC